TATATATATACATAGGAATAAATTTTGTATAAAATCGATATACGGTAGCTGTCAAAGTTAACGCAAATGATTTGAAAAAAAAAGTTTGTGAATCCCATCGGAGATACGACGATGATACACGTCGGTAGCACGATACGATCTTTTAAAGTACGATGTTTAGGGAATATGTCGTCGTGGTGACGACGACGGTGTCCTAGAAATTCCACGCCAGACTTCGATTTTTCTTCTTTACAGTATCTGTCTTTGAAATCGGGTTGCACGAAAGCGCACGTTCCATTATCCTTATTCTCTCTGTCTCTCTCTCTCTCTCTTTTTTTTTTTACAATTTGCGAACGCAATAACGCAGAGAGAAAAAAAATTTATTATTCTAAAGAAATCCCATTTTTTTATATTAGAAAAATATAGTGTTAATAATAAATAGTTTATAGTTTTATAACAGTGTAATAATGATTACAATATTTAAATAATTTTAGATATTTTATTAATTATTTAATTATTTTTATTTAAATTCATACTAATTAAGTATACTATTATAATATTATTAATATTATTAAAAAAAATATAATATTTATATTATAAATTTTATATAATATTTATTTAATAATATTATATTATATTATATATTTAAATTTATAAATAATATTGAATATTATATTATATTATTTATATTATTAATATTATTATTATAATATATTATATATTATATTATTAATTATAGTAATATATTGTATATTGTGTTATTAATATTATTAATATAATATTTATATTATAAATTTGATAATATTTATTAAATAATATTAAATTTAAATTGATAGATAATATTATATAAATTATATGAATAATATTAATAAAATTATAGAAGATATTTGTTATGCATAAATGTGCATGTACAATTTATTTTAAAATGCATATATTTTTATTTTATTTTTTTATTATTTAAATATATTAATATTTATAATACCTATTTTGTATTTATAAGTATGCGAAACGTGCAATAATATCTTCATGCGATTAAAAGCTTTGCAAAGTGCAAATTATTGACAAACATATTTTAATTATCCTTGTTTTTTTTTTTTTAATTATTTAATACCTTTTTTATTTAAATTGGTATTAAAAAAAAAAGTATATTTCTCATGTTTTCATTAACTCCCATAAATAATTTCTGGTATTTGTTTAAATAAATTCATTAAATTTATTAAATTCATTAAAAATGATATTATTTCATTTGCAATATTCATAAATGTTGTTTAACCTTCAAGAACTGACTTTTTTTATTACAGTGCCGTCTAAATGGTCTTTTTCCCTGTACCCTGCACTTTTTTTTTTCTAAAAAATTTTCTTACATGAACGAATTATTTTTATTTTATTTAGTCAAACTCTGACGTAATGATCTAATGCACGGTTAGAGTGGTGAAATATTCGAGGTGTGAAAATGAGGTGTTAGAGTTTTCGTTTTAATTTTATTTGAAACGTGTCAAACACGCGACCAACGTTGAGGAGTCTGAGGACATGAATTTTTCAAAACCCAACACATGGTTCGACAACGTAACCGAGTATTTAATCGAGTGTTTTCAAGTACCAACCTTGAACAGCTTGAAAAAATATTTTTTTTTTCTTTCTTTCTTTCTTTCATTCTTTCATTTCCTTAATCGACGAACACGATTACTTATACTACCACTACAAAAATCAAACAGTGTAATTTAATTGCGAAAACGTTTAAAACTACATTAATTTTCCAATTAATTAACATAATAATAATAATAATAATAATAATAATAATAATAATAATAATAATATTGCAATAATATTCGATTAAATAATTAAATAAATAAATTATTATTTATTATTATTTATTATATTTTTAAATATAATTCAACGTTTAAAAAAAAAGAAAATACTAATTATGATAAAAATGATTGAATGAATATTAATTAATAATTTTTTGTTGTTTTTTTTTTTTTAATTAATTATCCAATATTTTATTTCATTTTGTTTAGTTTAATTTCATTTCACTTATTTTCCCTTTTTTTTTTTTTTTTGCTAATTTAACCGTAATAAAACGTGATGTGATTGTAAATAAAATGCAATGTCATACTTTCATCGAAAAGCATACAACATTTTCTCTCATAGACCAATCACGTTTCGTGAAAGGTGTATTCGATCATTTAACTGAAAGGTATTCTTGAATACAATCGACAATTTCCTATTTTTT